TGGCCAGGACAGTGCTTTTTTAATTTGAATTAGGTGCCAGCACTTAAAAACCAGATGATTTCATATAAAAATCTGGACTTGCAGGGTTTTTTTTTTTTAATTGTTTTTGTTTTTTTAACACCTGGCAACTGGCAATAATCCTGGGCATCTCTATCCCACATGACTAGTATAGTGGTTGCCTCCTCTTGAAGGAGCATGAGCTCCCAGCTTACTACAGACCCCTTTACTCTTTATTATCTTACCCACTTTGCTCATTTATGGTCCCTGCCTGGCCCTTAGGCATCTGATTTTTCAACCCGTTCTGACAAGCCTGTGGCTTCCTCAATGACTTCTTATATCCCTCCATTTCCATTTGCTCCTTCTCCACATCCTGCTGATTCTCCCTTACCACCTTCTCCCTCATTTGTCCCTTCCTCCTAATTCACTTGCCTTCCTCATCTGCCTTCATTCCTTGCCTCCAATGAAGACACCTGTTGGGTCCTTCTACTCTCCTATCTTTCACATCCATCTTCCTCATCCTACCTCAGGTAGCTCTACAAACCTCATGGTCAAATCTTTGAAGAGAGATTCACCCATTCAGGGTGGGCTCATAGGGCAGAATTAGTGGTGGAGAGAGGAAGAGGTTCAATGTATGCCTTGGGGCTCAGCTGGCCCTGGGTTCAAATCCTGATTCCTTTGCCTCCCATCTGTGAGGCATTGGCAGTGTCACATTGAAATGAAGACAAAACAGCTCAAAGTTGAATCAGATTACTTCTAAAGTTAGTTCTGACCTTGACACTTTATCGTTTTAAAGCACCTTCTGCTCAAAACTTTTCAGTGATTCCCACTATCTACCAACTTGAGTGTAGAAACCCAGTTCCTCTAGATACTAGTTCTAGCCTATCTTTTATATCTCATCTTTCCCAACGCAGCTCATACCTTGTGCTAGTTCTTACATTCCTGCCTTTATACTTGTTAGTCTCCCTATCTGGAATACCCTTCAGCATTCTGTAAACAAACTCCCCATAAAAATGTGAGGCATTATACCTCCACCTGTTGAACCCTACTCATCTGCTAGGAAATTTGTTTTCAGTGCAAGTTACAAAAACCCCAACTAAAGCTACTCAAACCATAAAGACATATTGGTTCATGGAAAAGTCCAGAGGTGGGTCAAGCTTCAGGTATGGTTTTATCAGGTCTCTGGCTCATTTTTTCTATAATGTTTTCTTAGTCCTGCCCTCCTCCATGTGATGGCTTTATTTCTCTGGCTGGCTTTCCCTCATGGTGGCTGTGATAGTCAATTTTATGTCTCAAGTTGACTGGGCTAAAGCATGCCCAGATAGGTGGTAAAACATTTCTGGGTGTATCTGTGAGGGTGTTTCTGGAAGAGATTAGCATTTGAATTGGTACACTAAGATCACCCTCACCAATGCAGGTGGGTGTCATCTAATCTGTTGAAGACAGATTAGAATAAAAAGGCAAATTTGCTCTTTGCGTGAACTGACATCCATCTTCTCTTGCCCAGGACACTGGACATCACTGCTCCTGGTTCTTGGGCTTTTGGACTTGGACTGAATTATACCACTAGCTTTGCTGGTTCTCTAGCGTGCAGATGGCAGATCATGGGACTTCTCGGCCTCTATAACCAGGTGAGCCAATTCCTATCATCGATCTATTCTTTTAAAAATTTTAAAGATTTATTTTTTTGAGAGAAAGAGAGAGAGAGAATGTGCACACAAGTGGGAGGGGCAGAGAGGGGGAGAGAGAATCCCAGGCCGACTCCACCCTGAGCATGGAGCCCAATGTGGGGCTTGATCTCAAGATCCCAGATCATCTTCCTTCATGCTTTAATCTTCAGGGATTCTTCTGGACAACACAGAATATTCCTAACACTTCTCTGTTTAATTCATAGTCATTCATTCAACAAATATTCATTCTAGGGATGAGGAATGAGCAAAACAGACAAAATCTTGTCTTTGTGAAGATCACAAAAAGTGTAGTAGAAGGTGGGGACAGGAAAGAGACAACAAACAAATGAACAAATAATATTTCAGGTGGTAATAAGTGCTATGGAGAAAAATCCAGCAGGAAAGGGTACAGAGAAGTAGGGTGTTGCTATTTTATTTTTTAAAGATTTATTTATTTTTGGGAGGGTGAGTGAGTGAGCAGGAGTGGCAGAGGGAGAGGGAGAGAGAATCTCAAGCAGCCCTGAGTGCAGAGCAAGACATGGGCCTCAATCTCAGGATCCTGAGATCATGACCTAAGCTGAAACCAAGAATCGGATGCTCAACCAACTAAGCCAACCAGGCACTCCAGGGGGTTGCTATTTTATTTTTTAATTTTTTAAAAAGATTTTATTTATTTGACAGAGAGCGAGCGAGCACAAGCAGGGGGAACAGCAGGCTGAGGGAGAGGGAGAAACAGGCTGAGCAAGGAGCCTGAGAAGGGCTCAATCTCTGGATCATGACCTGAGCTGAAGACAGACGCTTAACCGACTGGGCCACCCAGGTGCCCCATGGTGTTGCTATTTTAAATGTGGGTCGGGGGAGGCCTCTCTGGGGAAGTGACCTTTGAGTGGAAACCTGAAGGAGTGAGCCACGCCCACATCTGGGAGGAGAGCATTTGAGGCAGACACAACAGCAAGTGCAGAGGCCCTGAAGTTAGCAGTATGCTTGGCATGTCAGAAGAACCGCAAGGCCAATGTGGCTGGAGCCGAGTAAGAGGAGGTGAAAGCAATACAATAGGGGATAAGGTCCGAACAGTAGCGGAGGGCAGATCAGGACCTTTGAAGCTATGAATATAATCCTCAGTGCCAGCAGGAAGAGGATTATCACCTGCATAGGCAGGTTTCATAATCAAGGCTATGAACAGGGAGGGGTGAACACCTGGTGGTGGGGAGGATGGGAGGTCAGAGAAAGCCTCTCAGAGGAGGTGGTTCCTGAGCTGAGTTTTGAAGGATTAACAGGAGGCATCTAGGCAGAAGGGGAGGAGCAGTCCAAGTAGAGAATGCTATAGCAGAGGGTGCTGAGAGACTGGGGTGTATTCAAGTACACATGGTTTTAAGGCTGGTACAAAGGGAGGGAGGCCAGTAGCCAGGAGTGGCCAGAAACAGAGCAGAAGAGATTGGCAGGGACCTATTCCTTAATTGGTTGATTGACTGATTCATTCACTCAAGTGTTTATTTTTTTATTTTATTTTTTAAAAGATTTTATTTATTTTTTGACAGAGAGAGACACAGCGAGAGAGGAACATAAGCAGGGGGAGTGGGAGAGGGACAAGCAGGCTTCCCTCAGAGCAGGGAGCCCGATGCGGGGCTCGATCCCAGGACCCTGGGATCATGACCTGAGCCGAAGGCAGAGGCTTAACGACTGAGCCACCCAGGCGCCCAACACTCAAGTGTTTATTGAACGTTAGGTCTATACCAGCCATTGTACCAGGTCTGGTAACAGTGATGGACTCACAACCAAAGATTTCTGGTCTCATGGAACTTACCTTCTAGTGGCGAGACAGACAAAAACACACAAACAGACCAAAAAATGACAAGAATAAGAAATGCCATGAAGGAAATGAACAAGAGGCCAAATTAGAGAACATCTTTAGGTGGGGTGTTCAGGAAAATCCTCTCTGAGGAGGTGATATTTAAATAGAGACTTGAGGCATAAGAAGGAACCAGAGTTAGAAGAGATAGGGGAAGAACGTTCCTGGCCTTGGTCTCAGTGTCACTATCTCTCTAATTTGATTTCTCTTCCTCTGAAGGGAGACACGGAGGTCATCAAACAACACAAGCAGAGTTGTAATTGTTGGTCTGGCAGAGCCAGGATTCCATCCAGACTCTGAGGTTTTAGGACTCGCGTCTCTTAGGCAGGTTCTGGGGGCAGCAATGTGAAAAATACAATCATGAAATCACAGGTCGGAGATGGAGAATTTGGACAGTTCCCAGCCCTCAAGGAAGTCTATAGCTGAGAAGGGCAACGGTCTTCGAGTGCTCTTGCAAGCCCCTCCGGCTGTTCCGTGGAGCCTGGAACACTGATTTGGGTGAGAGTTTCCGACAGGAGAAAAATTCAGTAGAGAGGACCACCACCTAGATCGGGTTATAAAACATTTCCCGCACCCTAGAAGGGTAAAGGTACTTGAATTTAACCTCCTTTGTAGGTGGGAGTGGCACGTCCTCCCCAAACCCAACCCAACCGCGGCCTCTCCGCCCAGCCCTAGCCTAGGCTGCGAGGAGCTATCCTAGCCCAGTCCACGCACCTGGTTCTCCGAAAGTGAAAGGACCTGGAGCTCCTTCCTACCGCGTCCCTCCCGCACTCCTCGGGCACCGCCCCCCGCCAACGTGTTTGGGTCCCATCTCCAGGCCCCGCCCACCTCCAGCACGAGCCTCCTTCCGGCTCATCCCTAGAGTGGCCACCTTTGGGCCCCCTCCTCCCTGTTCTGCTTCCGGGCCCGCCTCCTTCTGTCCCGCTTCAATTTTTCCTCCCTTCTGGATCTCTCTTCGGCCCCATCTCCTGCCCCCTCCTCTAAGGGCCCCGCTTTCCCCAGTTTCGCCCCTTGTCTCCCTCCACCCTTAACTCCTCCTACGGGCACGGCCTCCGTTTAGCCCCACCCACAGCCCCTCCTTTCAAGCGCAGCCCTGGCTCCTGGCTCCGCGCGGCCTCCACGGTCTTCCATACCTGCCTTGCGCTTCTCTCTTCTCTGGCATCACCACCCTGTCAGCCCTGCCCCGCCTTCGGCTCGCTTATTGGTGTAGAGGAGTCTCTCTCTCTCTCTCTCTCTCTTTTTTCCCGACCTTAGCCCCGCCTCCCCAGGCTTCCTCCTCAGTCCCTCCTCCCTGTCAGGCCCCGCCCTGGCCCCGCCTTCCTCTTCCTCCCCGCCGAAGCTCTGGACCTTTCCAAAGCGAGGCTGAGGGGGTGGGGGGAACCCATGCGCTCGGGAAGTCGGGCTGTGTCAGGGTGGGGCTGAGGACTCCCAGCGCTTGTGTCACTGTGTCCTTCTCTGGAGGCAGAGTCGGGGGTGTGGAGGGAGGGCCCAGGCCCGGGGCTGGAGCGGCGGGCGGGGCCAAGCTGAGGAAAGCCGTTCAGGGCTCCCCCATCCCTGCGCGCTTCAGTGGTGTCGGCCGAGGGAAGGACTCGCGGCTGCGGGGCTCGCGCCGCTGTCAGTGCGGCGGGGCGCGCGAACGGCGCGGGCGCAAGGCGGGCACAGCCGAGAGAAGCTGAGGGAGCGGCGGCGGGGGCGACTCCCGCGCGTGTGCTCAGCTCCTCACGCCGCGGCCGGGGCCGCCTTCTTCCTCCTTCTCTCCTTCCCTTCCGCCCCCGAGTGCGGCGGCACCGCCTCCTTCTGCGCCGCGCGGCTTCCTCCAGACCTCTCGGCGCGGGTGAGTGGGGGCCACGGGCGTCTCCTTGGGGGTGCGGGGGAGTGTTCCTTGTTCCTTTTCGGCCGCCCACCTCTTCGCGCGGGTTGCTGCCTATTTTTAGGAACTCTTATTTTCGGCCATTCTGGGCGTCCCGGGAGCGGGACTAACTCCCGGCCCCCTCCCCCCGCACCTCCCCCCAAACCCCGTGTCGCTGGCCCGGCCCATCCGCGCCTGCCCCCGGCCGTCTGGCGTTCCCTGGCCGCTTCCTCCTCGCGGGCCGGGCCTGGGCCAGGAGTTGGCGGGGTGGGCCGGCGCCCGCTCGGAAGTTGGAGTCTTTGTGCTCGCGCCCCGCTCCGCCCGGCGAGGGGAGGAGGGAGGGGAGTGGAGGCCGCGCCGGGAAGGCCTGGGCGGGCCCGGCCCGGGCTCTAGCCCGGCTCGGGCTTCTTCCCGCTCTCCCTCCCGGGCTGGGTCTGCCGGCTCCCCGCGGCGCGCAGAACTGGCCCTGCCTCCCTCCTCGCGGGCCTGAGCGCCGCCTCGGCCCCCACCGCTGCCGTTGCTGGGCTCGTTGCACACCTTGGGGCTCGGAGGGGAGCAACAACGCGCCCTCGAGCTGGGGCGGTGTTCCGCACTTAACGCAGCCCCCTGTGCGGCGGAGCTTCAGTTTGCCCCTCTGTAAGATGGGGCAAAGAAAGTCGCTTCGCAGGATGTTTGTGGATTTAGGGGACTAGTATGTGAGAGAAGTGTTTAATACCAACAGGTAACATTTAATGGACTTGACTAGGAACTTCGTAAGCTTTATTTCATTTAATTCTCAGGACGGCCTTCTGGGGGTTATCCCCCTTTACATAAGCAGAAGTCAAGGTGCAGAGAGGTAAAATAATTCGCTTCAAATCACAGTAGCCACAGGAGTGTAAATCCGTGGTACTAGTACTTGTTATTTATTTCTTAGTGTCAGCTTGTGTAATCTCGTAGTGCAGAGAGGATTTTGACTTATCCTTGGGTCACTCCGTTTTCCCTGACTCCTAGGCTAGTGTCCACTATACTGTGGATGAAATCCCATTCTGTGGATAGGGGAGGTCCGGGGGGAAGGAAATTACTATGAATTTCTTGCTAGTATTGCCCGTTAGAATTTGATGAATGTAGGGGACTCCAGATCTCAAGAACAGCTGAAGTTCTCTGGGGTTTTGGCTCATGGAAGGCTTAAGTCATTAGAACAGTGAGGTCTGTATTTTATTTATGGCATGATCCTTCCCCGCCCCCCCTCCCCCAACCTTGCGTGTTCTCTATAGTGTTTAGATTTATAGCTCCTACTTGGGGGAGGAGGAGGAGGAAGTGGCTCAAGTCAACAGCTTCAACTCCTTGCCTTCAAATAGGGTTTTATTTTTCCTATTTTCAGATAAGATCAAGAGGGGTAAAAGTGAAGTAAAATTAACTTCGGCAAGTTTCTAGTTTTCCAGTGTGTTTGATCCCTATTGTGGGAAGTGTCTAAAAATCAGAGTTCCCAGGGCACATCTTGAAGGAGTCTCCTAATGTTTGCATTAGTTCTTTGGATTCTGGAGGTCTGTTGTGCTCTCTTTCCAAAATTCTGGATTTAAGAGTTGTGGTAGGTAGGGCCTGGAAGGGGTCTTACCATCTGGTCTAACTTTTTTATCTGCCTTGTTCCCCCTATCCTGTTAACACTGGAAAGGGGAAGTAAGTTGTCTAAATTCACAGACTGCCTTAGTGACAGAATCAGAATTAGAATTCCCAGTCTTTTGCTTGGCAGTCCAGTAATAGTTTTATTTCTTCCATCCCTTGCCACCTTTTGAAGGGGCACTAAACTACTTATTCAGGCCTTAACAGAACAGGAATCCTGAGTAAATTGAAATCTTGAGAAAGTTGTTTAGTTCCAGCCACTCTCCATGCCTTAGGTTTAGCATTAAAAGGTCAGATTTTGTGCACAGGTGTACCCAGTTCTCATTAGTCATTACCTTTATCGTATGGGACTTTATGGTTTTTAGTACTCTTCTGGAATCATCTGATTTCTAACCCAGTTCTGTGAGGGAGTTCTTAAGAGTTTGCTTTACATCTCCTTTTTACAGCTGTAATTGGGAATTGAGACACAGCAAGGTTGGGGCACTTGCCTTACTTAGGTCACCAAATTAACAAGTGGTGGGGACGGGACACCTTTCCTGGGCAGGGGATTTGATGTAAGCATCATTAACTGAGCCACTCATTGTGGCTCTTGTGAACCTGTTTGTGTGGGGACTGTGAGAAATGGCAGTGAAAGTCTATTGTAGTAGTAGAAATAATAGCTAACATTTATTAAGTACTTAACCGGGTACCAGTTCTTGGACTAAGGACTTTCTGTGGGGTATCTCATTCATTCCTCAGAGCCGAATGTATGAATTAGTTAGTATCCCTGTTTTACAGAGGAAGAAAGGAACAGGCTTAGAGAGGTTATATGACTTGCTCAGGATCATGCAATTGATAACTGCAGACAATATAACTTTAAAGCTGGTGTGGCTTTGTTTTTTGGTAAAAATATACATGAGGTAAAATTTGCCATTTTAACCACTTTTAAATGGACAGTTCTCTGGCATTAAATACATTCATACTGTTGTGCAACCATCACCACTAACCATTGTTGTCAAGAACTTTTTCATCTTCTGCAACCGAAACTCTGTTGCCATTAAACACTAACTCCCTGTTCCCCTCTCTCCCCAGCCCCTGACAACCACCATTTTATTTTCTGTCTCTGAATTTGACTACTTTAGGTACCTCATGTAAGTGGAATCGTACATTCTTTTGTCCTTTAGGGACTGGCAAAACTGGCACTTCTAGTGCCTCCCTTGACCTCAAGGTGCTTTGTAAATGCAAAATGATCAGTCCTCTGCAGTAGGGTGTGGCATGCAGCCCCACAGCAGGAACAGAGGCCTGGTTGTACCTCTTTTTCCCCCTTTTTCCTCTGCTCTGTGGATTGAAGTTCCTTATCACGGAAGCCTTTTCTGGAGATCTGTGCTGGCCCACTTTTGTGTCTTTGAAAGGGACCTCTTACCCTTGAAATAGAACCCAGAGGACTCTCCACCCTTGCTTCTTTGCACCTGCTTTTCCGACTATCCGGGGTTTGGGCATATCGGGCTGCAGTGATCAAGAATAGCAGTGCTATGACAGAAGCTCGGATCAGAACTACTCAGGAGATGATTAAATGGATTACCTTTATGAACAGCATTCTCTCTGCCCTCCTCTTTCCATAAAGTCACACAAGAAAAATTAGTTTTGGGTTCCTAGAGGGTGTTTATGAATACTTGTTGCTTGCAGGTGGTTAAGATGGAGTTAAATGCATTTAGCCTTTCAAAACTCCTTTAGGTTTGACTGCTTCTGTTTCTATATGTTTGGAAGGTGGTGGAATATGGTGTTTTTGAAGGGTAGTTGGAGTTTTGTTCTGATACCAACAGGGGGTGGGGGTGGGAGGTGTTCCAGAGATGGATAATAGGGCAGCAAACTGATCTGAACATGTTGCACTTTCCTTAAAGATCTGATGACCTAACATTGCCTAGGTATTAAGTCCGATAAGTGCGATAATGAGGTCTGAATGTGTTGAATTGTTTATTGGATAGGATCTTGTAGTTGAAGGGCTTTTAAAGTCCTGTCGACCAGCTAGCCATCTGGCCAACATTTGAATTGGCTACTTGCTGAGATTCGGTTTCATTGGACACTTAATTATTAGCAAGTTTTCCGTTTACAGAGAAATTATTAAGCATCTGCCATGCACAGTCCTAAGCTTGGGGATTTGAGTCTATACAGCCTCGTGGGGAAGGCAGGCAAGTAAACAGGCAGTGTGAGAAGTGTTGTGAATAGGGATAAACACTATTAGAACATAGAGGAATGGTAACTAACCAAGCCTTGGAGGTTTCTTCAGAGAAGTTGGCTAAGCCCAGATCTCAAGAAAAATAGAAACATAAGGCAGGAGGAAAAGAAGAGATTTGGAGAATTGAGGAGGAGACAAAGATAAGACTAGGCAGAAGGAATAGCAAGTCTATTGATGGTGGTGGTAATAGTTAAGACTTTTGGCCATTTCCTGTATCAGGTGCTACTCTGAGCATTTAACATGTGTTAATTAATTTTTTCCTATAACCACCCTGAAAAGTACATACTATTGTTATTCCCATCCTGTAGGTGAGGGGTTGCATTTAATCCAGAGGGGTTAAATAACATCTCCCAGGTTTCTCAAGGTTTCTGGGTGGAGAATAAAGCAAAAGATGGGTGGATATGGCAAGAGATGAGAAGAGACTGGTAAGGTAGGTAGAGCAGAAGCCAAGTCATGAAAGGGCCTTTTTGCCCCGGTTGACGAATTTGGATTTCATTTCAAGGTGAAGGGGGGGCCATGCTCCTATGGGCATTTTAGAAGGATATCTCTGACTACCTCTTTGGGGAGTGGTTTGCAGGGCTAGAGCACCATGGGCAAAAAGACCAGTTAGAAGGAGGCTGTTGTGGTAATACAGGTAGGAGATGATGGTGTTTCAAATGAAGGATGTGTATGTGTGGAAGGACTTGAGCAGTGAGACACAAAGATTACTGGTGTGGAGAGTCATCAAGGATGACTTCTAGATTTCTGCCTGGTGCAGTTATTATATAGATGGGGATGCTGACTATTGAGGAGACATAAGAGAGGAGGTGGGTTTCTCATGCAGGTTCATCTTACATCTTACATTTTACATCTTACATCTTCCATTTACCTGCTAGTTATTGATCCTAGTTCTCCAAGGGGAGAGTTGGGGGTGGGAAGCATGGGTGAGGGACAGTATTGCACAACACATCTGGTAACCATTATTCCTGGCTAAACTGGATGATGTAAACACTAGTTTAGAAAAGGAGGAACTATTAGATCCCAGACACTTAGGCGCTGCACAGCCCTGAAAACTGCTTATGTTAAGCCAAGGAAGGCTTACGTTTTTTCTAGACAATGCCTTGGGTGCTGAGACGCTCTCCATCTGCTTATGTGGCCCTCTGTAAGTCATCTGTATTTACTACCTGCTAGG